AGCCTCCAAACTGTAAGAGAATAAACTCCTGTTTGTTAAGGCCATCCCATTTGTGGTATATTCTTGTCAGAGCAGCACTAGGTAACCAGAACAATAATCAAAACCAAACTCACTGCCATCGAATCAGTTCTGACTCATAGCAACTCCTAATGGGTTTCCAGGGCTGTAATCTTTACAGGAGCAAATTGCCTCCTCTTTCTTCCATGGAGCAGCTGGTGGATTTGAACTGCTGACATTTTGGTTAGCAGCCAAATGCCTAACCACTGCACCACCAGAGCTTCTTGTCAGATTTATAAAGATACTTATAATAAAGGGCAATAATAATGAAAAGTAGAAAAAAGAGATATCCAACTGTTCAACTTACATCAGAATTGACATATGATAGAGTTGAAACAGAACCCCATCATAAGTTGGGGACTGCCTATAATTAGCATCCCTTGGAGCTGTGCAATGCACAGTCTGCAAAGCTCCTATAAGAAGAATCTTCTCTTATTTTTGGAAAAGCAAATAAATTGCTATAAAACATTAGACAGAATACACTTCAGAATAAGAGACTTCAGTTAACATATTTGCACCAGACCAGTGGAAGTTACATTCTAGTAGACAGACAAACTCATGAGAGCCAATCATCTTTCATCTAACACTATATTATTATCCCAGCTTTTTAAATAGACAGCAGACCATCTGCGAAACACCTTCACCTGTATGGGAGGCCCAACCACTATTTAAATGCCCAACTTTTGGTCCTTCCTCACCTATACAGGGCATATATAACTCCACAAAATGTATGTGTCACCTTAATAAAAGGAAACTGTAGCCTTGGTTTCTAAACGATCCTTTACACCATTCTAGTTATACAGGCCTCTGACTTGCATGGTTGTTTCATTTTCAATGCATACTCAGTAATTAAGGGTTTCTCAGCAAACAAGGCAGATACAACCTTCCACATATATCCTAATCTGTCATGGAATCAGAACATAATGCCTAGAAAATGATAAAACTCATTTCCAAATTCCTGTCCAATGCAGTTGACAAATGCTATAAACTTTCATATAAACAAATGTATAATTAAAACCAAGTTTCTTTTCTGTTACAAAGGAGACTCAAAGTTAATTGAAGAATATTTGGGAAAGATAATGGATGTATCATATATAATTTAGAAACATATTTCTCAACTCAATATTAAACCTTTAATCATAACTCCTGTCTCAATTTCCTTGCCCACCTAAATTTCTCTTAGAGGGCTATTTCAGGAGTTCAAGAACAATGGAGACAGAAAAGAAAGACAGCATAATAATATCATTTACTATTGTAACTGATCAATTGTTGAAACACATGGTTTATCAACAAGACAGAAGTAGTTCTCCCATTAATTAAAAATCCATTATATATGAGCATAAAGTAAATACTGTGAGTACTTGTGCAAGCCATTACCCTCTGAATATTTTCTAAGGTAACTTACATATTGCAGGAAGAAATATTCTATAGTTAAAACACTTTAGAAAAATTGTTTTGATTCTGAAGGGTTAGTCAAAACTGTAGTCTCATGTTTTAGAAAATTTTATTTTTAATTATTCTTTCCCCAAATTTACTGAGATACAAATCTGGATTCTTCTTTGATATTCTGTTATTCCTGTAAGTATCATATGGTCTCATTGATCATCATAATGACTTTTAAAAAGAGAGATGATTACCTGCTCTTGTGAAATGGCCAATCCATTGCCAACTAGGAGATAGCAGAATTGATTTCCCATTGCCCTGATTAGATTTAGCTTTCTTCCTGAGAGAGCCCATTTCTTTCTTGAACAGAAGTCAGGCAGGTCAATGGCAGTAAACCCTGGGAGAGGCCAGGGATCAGGAGAAAGAAATTTGTAAGGATTGCACATGATATCTTGCCAGGAATACATATTTCAATTGTAACCTTTTGCTTTTCAACTGCCAAGGATACGGACAGAATAGTTTCCTGGAGGAAAGGGTACCATGAAGTATTTCAGTAGCTTTGTTGTAGTTGTTGTTAGTTGACATCAAGTTGGCTCTGACTCACAGCAACCCCATGTGCAGAATGAAACACTGCCCAGTCCTGCACCATCCTCATAATCCTTGCTCTGCTTGAGCCCGTTGTTGAGGGCACTGTCAATCCATCTCGTTGAGGGTCTTCCCCTTTTTCACTGACCCTCTACTTTATCAAGCATGATATCCTTTTCCAGGGACTGATCCCTTGTGACAACATGACCAAAGTAAGTGACGCAAAGTCTGGCCATTTTCGCTTTCAAGGAGCATTCCAGCTGCATTTCTTCCAGGACAGATTTGTTTGCTCTTCTGGCAGTCCATGGTATTTTCAGTATTCTTTGCCAACACCTCAATTCAAAGGCAACAGGTCTTATTCATTGTCCAGCTTTCAAATGCATATGAGGTGATTGAAAATACCATGGCTTGGGTTAGGTGCACTTAACCAAAGGTTAGTCTTCCAAGTGACAGCTTTGTTTCTTAACACTTTAAAGAACGAGGTCTTTTGCAGCAGATTTGCCCAGTGCCATACGTTGTCTGATTTCTTTTTCTAAACTTTTTCAATCATGTCTTTATTTAGTTTCAGTTCACACTGTAAATATGTAAGTTCCAAAACATACATAATGTTGACTCTCTGATAACAGATTTTTGTACCATCCAGCTCTGCCAACATTCAAGTCATACATCCCTGATAACAATGATATCATTGGATGTAAAGGAAAGAAAGAAAGAAAGAAAGGAGGAAGCTCTCTCTTACATAGTTAAAGTTAGTAAGGAAAGGCCACACATTAATGTGAGCTGAGTTAGAATTTAGTCATGGAATGGTATGACTACCACAGGCATTATTCTCACACTGAAATTATCCCATTTCTTCTCTAGAGATTTTCCTTTATTTCTAGTTCTTACATAAGCCCTCATCCTACACATCAACTCATTTTCCTTTTTTACCTCCCTTCTGTCCCAGGGTGACAAATAAGATATGTGCAGAAATAAGATCAGTGCAGAAAACTGTTGAGAAGAAAATTCAAAATGTGATCATAGATAGAAGTCTACCAAATTTAAAATGTAGTGTTCTAAAAATATATGATTTCATCGTTCCTCACCCCAAAGCATTCTTTGTTTCTTTTCCAAGATGATGATGACTCTTCACACATTTCCTTTTTCCATATAGGCGCCTTGGCTTTTAAAGTATCAGTGACAAAGTTCACAGCTTCCAGGGATGTGGCCCTGTGGGCTGAGGACACAACATTGATTATGCTGGCTTCTGACATTGGAACCAAGCTGAGTCTATGGAACACCGCTATATGTTTGACTGGTCACTTCTGCTGAATGTCGCTACAAATTTTCCTGACTTAGTTTTCTGCCATTGGTAGATATGCTTCATCTTCCAAGCTAATGACTTTTTTCCCTTCAAAATTATTTCTTGTTGTCCCTACAAATAGAGATATTGCACCACAGAGTGGAGAAGTCAACCAATTGTGAAACTTCATCAACCAAAAGCTTCTTGGTGGTGAATTTTATTATATCCTTAGCTTTCTCTCCAATTTCATTCATATCTTTCCCAGTTGGCTCAAAAGTACTACTCTCCACTAATGGGGGGGGGGGCGGATAATGGCAATTTCGTCTCCCAATTGAAGTAGGAGGAGAAGTTGATCTCCAAGCTCGACGTATTCCTGATGAATAGCAAATATCACCTGGTTTCTGACATCAGCCAATCCAGGATGTCGACTTTCTATCTCCTTCCACAGCTGCAATGCTTTTATTTGTTGAGGCACAGAAATGGTCTCTGAAGGAACACCTGTTATTTCAGCACTTTTTGCAAAATACAGCACTTCAACCTGGCACCACGGAACCATAACACCCGGAACCCGAGCCCGGGATCCCACAGGTGGAGCCTGTTGTCTGATTTCTTAACTGCTGCTTCTGTGGGTGCTTCCAAGTAAAATGAAGTCCCTGAAAACTTCATTCTTTTCTCCATTTATTGTGATGTTGCTTATTGGTCCAGTTGTGAGGATTTTTGTTTTTTTTATATTGAGATGGAATCCATATTGAAGACTACAGTCTTTGATCTTCATCAGTAAGTGCTTCAAGTCTTCTTCACTTTTAGCAAGGAACATTGTGTTATTTGCATATCTCAGGTTGTGGTTAATGAGTCTTCCTCCAATCTTGATGGCATGTTCTTCTTCATATAGTCCATTTTCTCAGATGATTTGCTCAGCATACAGATTGAATTAAGTACGGTGAAAGAATACAACCCTGCTACACACCCTTCCTGATTTTAAACCATGCAGTATCCATTTGTTCTGTTTGAATGTACAAGTTCTATGCACAAGTTCCTCATGAACATAAGTCTTCTGGAATTCTCAGTCTTTGCAATACTATCCAAAATTTCTTATATCTACACAGTCAAATGTCTTTGTGTAGTCAATAAATATCTTTTTGGTATTCTTTGCTTTCAGGCAAGATCTATCTGACATCAACAATGATACCCTTGCGGTCGTTATGTTTGTGTGTCAACTTGGCTGGGTCTGGTTGAGTGACTAGGCAGCTGGTGGTAGTTATTCCTCATGATGAGATTGGCAATCAGCTCCATGGTGGGATCTACCACAAGCAGCTGAGTAGCTGCCTTTGGGTATGTGGTCTGCTTCCTGTACATAAGCAGCAGCTTTGGGAATGGTCTCTAGCTTATGGCATGCTTGGACCCTGCATGTAGCTGTGTCATTGTTCAGCAGCCTGCCATGCTCTGCTGACCTGGGGGCTTACAATGGACTTGAATTGATGGCCTGACGTGTGATTTGGTAACATTGGGACTGTGCCTTTTTACTTGTCAACCTTGGGCTTGGCAGCCTCAGCAGCCAGCAGCTGTCTGAAGAAAAGCCTCTAGCTTCAGTGGGCCAAGAGCTGGAGGCAGAGCTGAAGCCCAAGGCTGAGTGGCTTTCACCCAGCCCCTAGAGCCTGGCGCTTTGAACTTGGACTTAAAGCCTCCAAACTGTTTGTTAACAAACTCCTGTTTGTTAAGGCCATCCCGTTTTTGGTATATATTCTTGTCAGCGGCACTAGGTAACCAGAACATCCCTCATTCCACATCTTCTAATTCTAGTTTGAATTTCCAGAAGTTCCCTGTCAATATAGTGCTGCAACTGTTTTTGAATTATCTTCAGCAAAATTTCACTTGCATGTGATATTAATGATACTGTTCAGTAATTTTCACCTTCTGTTGGGTCACCTTTCTTTGGAATGGGCATACATAGAAATCTCTCCCTCTCAGTTTGCCAGGTCTTGTCATAATAAGTAAGCACCTCTAGCGCTGCTTCTGTTTGTTGAAACATCTCAATGGATATTCTGTCAATTCCTGGAGCCTTGTTTTTTGCCAATTCGTTCAGTGCAGCATGGACTTCGTCCTTTACTACCATTGTTTCTTGATCATATGCTACTTCCTGAAATAGTTGATCATCGACTAATTATTTTTGGTACAGACACTCTGTGTGTCCCTTTTTTCTTTTTCCGAATGCTTCCTGAATCATTCAATATTTTGTCCATGTTGTTGTTGTTATGTGCCGTCGAGTCGGCCCCGACTCACAGCGACCCCTCCTTGGGTTTCCGAGGCAGTATCACTACGGAAGTAGGATTGCCCAACCTTCCTTCCGAGGAGTGGCTGGTGGGTTTGAACCACCAGCCGTCTGGTTAGCAGGCAAGTGTCTTAGCCACTATGCTACCAGAGCTCCCATTTTGTCCATAGAATCTTTCAGTTTTACAACTGGAGGCTTGAATTTCTTCTTCAGTTCTTTCAGCTTGAGAAATGCTGAGTGTACTCTTCCCTTTTGGCTTTTCAACTCCATGTCTTTGCACATTTCATTATAGTAATTGGCTTTGTCTACTCGAGCTGCTCTCTGAAATCTTCTGTTCAGCTCTTTTACATTTCATCATTTCTTCCATATGCTTTAGCTACTCTCCATTCAGGGAGCTCTGGTGGCGTAGCGCTAAGGCTAACCAGAAGGCTGGTGGTTCAAACCCACCAGCCACTCCTCGGAAGGAAGATTGGGCAATTGACTTCCATAGAGATACTGCCTCAGAAATCCGAGGAGGGGTTGCTATGAGTTGAATTGACTTGACAGCATTGAGTTTGTTTGTTTTTTTTCCTCTCCATTCAAGAACAAGTTTCAGAGTCTCTTCTGGCATCCATTTCAGTCTTTTATTCCTTTCCTGTCTTTTAAATGACCATTTGCTTTCTTCAGGCATGATGTTCTTGATGTCATCCCACAACTAGTCTGGTGTTCTTTCAATACCATTACAAATCCTCTAGTACAGGTCACTAGCATCTTCTCATTGCACAGCAGATTTGTTATGGCACTGCAGATGTAATTGTACTATATATTCTTCTTCTTTCCCTCCCTTCCTTCTTTCCTTTACTCCAAGAAATATCAAGCCCAACATCTTTGTCAAGTACTGAGTTTATTGTGGTGAACATGATATTGTCCGTGTCTTCCTGATTTTGTAATCTAGTTGTGGAAATAGATGTTAAACAAATGAGTACGCAGATATGTTGTTGTTGTTGTTAGGTGCTATCGAGTTGCCTCTGACTCACAGCAACCCTATGCACAACTGAATGAAACACTGCCTGGTCCTGCACCATCCTCACAATCCTTGCTATGCTTGAGCCCATTGTGTGTCAATCCATCTTGATGAGAGTTTTCCCCTTTTTTATTGACCCTGGAAGGAAGCATGCTATTTTCTCCAGGGACTAGTCCTTTCTGATAACATGACCAAAGTAGGTGAGATGAAGTCTGGCCAATGTCACTTCTAAGGAGCATTCCAGTTGTACTTCTTCCAGGAAGGGGGAATGTGATGCTATTGGAGAAACCTGGTGAGAGTGTGGTGGTATGAAAGAGAAGACAACCTCTCTGAGGAAGCCACATTAAGCTGAGCCCTCAGTCAATACAGAATGAGTGTTATGTGTTGTTGTTATGTGACGTCAAGTCAACCTCGACTCATAGCGACCCCTCCTTGGGTTTCCGAAGCAGTATCACTACGGAAGTAGATTGCCCAACCTTCCTTCTGAGGAGTGGCTGGTGGGTTTGAACCACCAGCCTTCTGGAGAAGGAGAAATGTGGGAGTGCGGATTGGGTATGTGTGAAAGGGCTAAGACTGGAGGTATAAATAAACTTGGCTCATTTGAGGTACCAAAAAGCTCCTTGTTGCTAAAGCTTCATTAGCAAAGAAAAATGACTAGTAGGCTAAGGAATCGAAGCAGTATTCAGGGACCAGATCACTCAGGCTAAAGGTAAAAATAATAAAATGTCTGTTGAGACAGAAAACCTACAAAGGGAACAAAACTTAATGGCATATTACCTTACAGGATATAACATAACTCTCTAATAATTATTGGACTGTTGTGCATTATCAGCAGTATTGAACCTGAGAAAGGATAAAACAAATGTATTCACTCACCTTTTTCAAGTGATGCTTTGAACTCTAACGACATTTACGTGGGGGACTGATCAAGAAGATAAATGTTAGCCTGTAGCATTAAGCAGAACTTGTTCATTTAGGACATGTGCTGGTAGCTCGAAAGAATATAAGGTTGTGCCCTTTTGAATGAAGAACTGCTCTTTGTTTGACAGAAGGTAATAAATAAAAAGTCCACAATGTCACAGAGCTTATTTGGAAGATTTGCCATGAGGAAGGTAAAAAACGGCAAACTAAGCCTAAGAGAGGCACATAATGATGAGGGAACTGGTGAACAGAAAGTCAAAGTAATATCTGTTGCTTTTTTAAACTTTCCCATATTACTGAATTATCTGGGGTCCTGTGACATGTCACAGAGCTCTTCATTTATTACTGTCTCCCTCTTTCCTTCCCTCTAGCAACTCTGACTTATGAAGCAAAATGGCATTGAAGGGGTCGAGGAGAACTTTGATTATTGCTTGATTAAAGAATGTTCTGCGTCAGCCTTTTTGTGAAACTAACTGGGAAACATCCCATCTTTGAAATGAAATACATTAAATGTGTTCCACTTCTTGTGAAGAAAAAGTTTCTTTAAACATTGACCAGTGACATGATCTTTTTCTTTTCTTCTATTATCTTACCTTTTCCTTTCTATTCCTCAGCCCTTTCCTTTCTCTTTCCTCCCTCCCTCTCTCCCTTTCTTCTTTCCTGCTTCATTTCCTCCTTTCTTTCCCTTCTGCTCTCCCTCCCTGGGAGGGACTCACTGTCATTGAGTTGATTCTGACACCTAGCAACCCTATAGGGCAGAAAAGAACTGCCACATAGGATTTCCAAAGCTGTAAATCTTTACAGAAGAAAACTGCCTCATTTTTCTCTCATGGAGTGGTTTATGGATTCTAACTGCAGATCTTTTGGTTAGCAGCTGAATGCTTTAACCGCTGTGCCACCAGAGCTCCTTCCCTGGGGAGGAGGAGGATGGAATTTGACTAAAGGATATTATCATTAGAATCACAAGGAATAGTACAAGGACTTCCCTTTTGGTTCTAGTATTTTCCTCTCAGAACCAGAAGTCCAGGCTGAATTATAAGGTCTAACTCATAGGGTGGCAATTTGGATTAAATGAGGAAGTATATACACAATGTCCATCACCTGCATAAGCCATGGCATCAAGTGGCTGCAATATCTATTTCTCATGCAGAAGTATCCTGGTGAAGGGGAAGTGAGGTCATGAAGTTAGGAGAACATTTTTTATGGCTTTTACAGCATTAAGTTATAATTTTTGAAGGCTTAAGCCAAGGTGTTTTGCAGAGGGAATGGAGAATAGTAGAGGAGTGTCTCTGAAGGATTGGATAATGGTTTGGGTATGGAAGATAAATAAGAAATTGCTCAAAGGCAGGCTTCCTAGACTAGC